TTGGCCTTCTTTAATTCACTTTTATATTCTGGAAGGAACATGCAAAATCTGCTCTTCCAATGACTTAGCATTTTGAGGGAGGTTACCTAGAGCTGAACCTAGGGGCACTGTCCTATTGAGCTACATACCTCATATGCTGTGACCCCGGCCAGTCTCAGCAGCATCTTGGCCTTCTTTAATTCACTGTTATATTCTGGAAGGAACATGCAAAATCTGCTCTTCCAATGACTTAGCATTTTGAGGGAGGTTACCTAGAGCTGAACCTAGGGGCACTGTCCTATTGAGCTACATACCTCATATGCTGTGACCCCGGCCAGTCTTGCAGCAGCATCCTGGGCAGTTACAGGAAGGTGCTTAGCTGCGTCCCCTACATCAAGCTCTCGCCTTCCCACACTCTCCATTCGGTCACCTCCTCCAATCCAATAGCTGCTACAAGCCTGTCCCGCTAGCACGTAGGGTCCTTTCCCTTTGTGTCTGCAAGACAGTCCAGCCCCCGTGTGGTGGTGAGGGTGGAGTGTCGATTTGATTGGTCCTTGGAATCCACCCTGGGGACCGGCAGAGCACACTTCTGGGTATGTCTGGGTGAGTCCTGGAGGTGACCTTAGGTACTTTATGTGGTCCCTGGTCCCTTCCTCTCTGGCCCTGTTCCCCATGAACCCAGGAGTGCTGTGCCTGTAATTCTAGCACTTTCAGAGGCTGAGGCAGGAGGGTTGTAAATTCAAACTCAGATGAGACCCTGTCTCAAAATTAAAAAGACTGAGGATGTAGTTTGGTGCAAAGGCCCTGGGTTCAATCCCCAGTACCTTAAAAGGGGAGGGAGGGAGGGAGGGAAAGAAAAGAATGCATAAGATACTCTAACTGTGCTCTGCTTGGAATGCTAACTCACCTTTCTTAGCATTAAGTCCTAATTGTAAAAGTCTTTGTTAATTTCATATGTTAAAAAATGGCACATTCTCCCCCCCCCCCCGCTGAGTGGGCCACCGTGCCACCTCGGCTCCTTAATAAAGATCTCTCATACGGAAAAAAAATGATATGTTGAAAAATCTGTGGATGTTTTAAAAAACTTAAATGACAAAATATTGAACTGCTACCTTCATATCCTGCCAATATGAATGATTTTAGAGCCCTTTTTGGGGGAGGTTCTGGGGATTGAACTCAGGACCTTGCACTTTTGAGGCTGGCACGGTGCCACTGAGCTAAATCCCTGGCCCTATTTTAGAGCTTTTTAAAATCATAAACTGTAATTCGCTCTCCGAGGGACTTCAACAGAAGAAATGAGTTTTCCTATCAAATATATTTTGTCCCACCATGCTTTAAATATCTATCACGTAATACTGTATTTGAAAGGGAAAACTGGGAGACGTCTCTAGGAAGAGGAACTTTGGATCAAAGACATCTTCATCAGGAACAGGGAAGCCTGGGTTATGAGTTGAAGCCTCCCGGTGACAAGCACCTGGTACACATTAGTCACTGGACAAGTGAAAGTTACTGTGATGACGAC